GCTGATTTATGCTGACGAAGTTCTGTAGATATTACATCGTTTTATTTGTTAAAATTTGCTTTATCTGATAAACTAATTCGTACAGTGTGAGGTTTTCTCTAGCATTTATTACAACAATTTTGTCAGTGCAAACAATTTATTCAAGTTTTTCACTCGTCTTTCGAGTTTGTCTCATAATGTTTTATAACGTTGATATCAGGGCATCAAATGTCCAACTCTACCAAGAGTTAAATAACCCATGCGATTACACATGAAGAATACGCGACGTTTGGCCACACCCGTTATAAGAGTCTTCCGAAAATATACAGGCCGTCCACTTTCTTAACTGTATTTTCATTATTAAACTTTTTGATAACGTTTGGACTGTTCCCAGCCTTCTACTAAGTTTTCATCACACTTGTAAGCTCCAATAATTCTGTACGTTTAACTCATAGTTCTTGCGTTTTGAGATAAAAACAAGACTGTTTTGAATAACTTTTTTAATCGCCTAATTTGAATCTCGCAATATTTTTTATGATCGGCAAAATTACCAATACTTTTTACAAAGGTGCCAATTCTGTCGGCATTCTTTTTCCGTTGGTCTTCGTCTAGTCATATTAAGTAAGACCAAGTTGTTTGGACAATTCAGCATGTTCAAGCAAGATAAAAGAGGAACGTGATACAAAACATCGGTGGTGCATCTGATAATCAAAGTAATAATTCCCCATTTGAGTGTAATATTAATTTGTTTCGCAGATGATTTTCGGCGAAATATCGAGAAAAAGCTCTAATCAGTCTTTTAAAAGAGCATGCCTTGCGACTTCAATCAAAAGAGAAGAAATTAAATCCTACCGTATCTATTCTGCTACTGTGGTCGGTTGCATACAAATTTAACTGAAATTTGTGGTATTAGCTGGTTTTCCGCATACGCATCGCTCTCTTTTTCGTGTGACAAATGATACACCGACCGAAGGACATATTGCAGCGGCATGTGTCTGAAAGTAGCAGTAGGCTATCAATGAGGTTATCCTTTAAAAAGTCAATAACATGAAATTGGGCCTGAATTTGGTTGGCCAGTTCCTTTTGTACCAATATAGCTATATAAACATATGGTCACAATATCGTCTCTGCTGCAAATATCGAGTTACAATGTTCCAGCGTACACCAGCCCGAAATCTCCGCTTTTTGCGTATAGCTGTCGGCTTGATGATTACAAGTTTTTTGGTTTGCTATGCCATGACCTTTCTCGCCGATGGAACCAGACAAATTTTCTTCAAGACAAAATATATAGATCCTCACGCGGATCCCAGCTTGTTTGCCAACACCCCTGAACGATTAAAAGCTGTAATCGTTATATTGGTCAGGAACAGCGAACTAGAAAAATTGTTGCCTACGCTTAAGCAGTTTGAAGATCGCTGGAACAAGAAATACAATTATCCTTATGTCTATTTAAATGATGTGCCTTTCACCGAAGAATTTATAAAAAAAACCTCTGCCATGACGAAGGCTAAAACTTATCATGGTAGGAGACTCTTACGACTAATTCTGTCGCATTATAGATTCAAGTAGCTTCCGATTGCAAATCCTAGTATGCCTTATCTTTCCAGATGGTATCGCGTTCCAAATGGTCACATATCGAAGGACAGGTCAAAAATTCATGATAAATAAAAATTTTTTAAGCAGGACTTACTATTTGACAGTCGTATCTAACTAACAACAAACGAATTACATAAGGAAAAGTATGGAGACAAAGGTTATTCTCAGCCTGAAGAATGGCATCACCAAAATAGCGAATATAATATTTCAATGATTTTGTGTAAATAAAGCGTTTATTGTCCTAGACTAATATATATTTACTGTTTGGAAGTCGATTCTCGTTTTCGTTAACATAAGCAGATTGAAGGTCGACTTTTAGTGTTAAACGTTCCAAACAACCTCGCAATTTGTTAGGAATTCGAGCTTAAAATATTTACATACAATGACAGTACTTCGTCGATGGACAAACGGAAATGCTTTATTTACACAAAGTCTATTGAAATGAGGGGAAGAAAATGTTTATTTTTTCTTCTTCTGCAGTTGGAGGAGATTGCAAATGATATATCGTTCTAATTGCTTGTCCGCACACATATTAATTATGAAATGTGTCATTATCTGAGAGCGACTGGACTGGACTGGAATTTGATTCGTGATGGAATCTGTCATTTACCTGCAGTCGGAAGCTATTGCCAAATCTTATAAACGTATTCGCTATAAAACATTTTGCATTACTCATTCTTTTTCAATTTGTAGCTACAATTCCCAAGGAGATGTGGAGCTATCCGTCATGGATTAACCAGACAAAGGCGGAAAACACGCGTGTGCAGATGGAGCTCGATAATGTACCATACGGAGGATTAGAATCATATTACCACATGTGTCGTTTTAATTCTGGATTTTTCTTTCGCCATCCTCTTCTGGACGAGTATGATTATTACTGGCGTGTTGAGCCCGGAGTTGAGTTCTACTGTAACATCGATTACGATCCATTCGCTTTTATACAAAAGAACAACATTTCATACGGATTCACAATATCACTGAAGGAAGTCCCAGAGAGTATCCCTACTCTATGGAAGATTACCGAAAAATTTATCAAAAAATACCCACAATATGTCTCATCTGACAATTCTGCAAAATTTATATCGGACAATAATATGGAAACTTATAATCTGTATGTTTTTTATAAAAAGCTACAGTTAAACATCGCATTATATTTAATTACTGCATTTTATCTTACCCATGTAGATGTCACTTTTGGAGCAACTTTGAAATCGGTGATCTGCGCTTTTATAGAAGCGAAGCATATCTAAAATATTTTGAATTTCTAGACAAAGCTGGAGGATTTTATTACGAACGGTAGGTTTAACAGTGTGCGAAATAATAATTTTGTGAACAAGTTTTTCATAAAAAATCGAAATTTTCAGATGGGGAGATGCGCCCATCCATTCCATTGCGGCCGCTCTCTTTTTAGATAAATCCAGAATACATTTCTTCAACGATATCGGCTACAAACACGAAGATTTCGGACACTGTCCACCAGAACAAGAGGTTCGCAAGTCTGGAAAATGTCAGTGTGATCCTAAAACTAATTTTGGTAATTCCCATTTTATCATGTTTGTGGATTACATGATAAAAATAGTGATTCTAATCCTTTTTTCATTAAAGACGGATTTCAAGATTCATGTCTGAATCAATATTTCTCGTCGTACATTTGAACGGACAGCCCTACAACGTTACGAGACGTTCTGTATCTTAGTAATTTAGAATATCGAACATTTAAAGCACGATGTTGCTCGCATCGTACAATGACTATCGACTAGCATCGTCTTATAGATTATATTATATCAATCAATTAATTAATTAATTATTTATTTATTTTATAGTAACGGTCTCCTTTAAGAATAGATGCTATTTATTAATGATTAACTGTAATAGATAAAAAAAAACTTTAATTTCTACGATCTGATACACTTTATAATCGATTATGTTCGATAATGCAAGGAGAAACTTATAAAGATAACCCTTTTGCGATATACAGTAATTGGATTGCTGCATAAACGGTCAAAACTGGACCTAACGATATCAGAATTTAATAATGAATTTACCCGGTATAACGATTTTCACTATTAACTTCATTCCGTACAGTGAACTCTCCTAAATACGCAGTCTCTCCCTGAATACACTCTATTTGATATTCCCAACCTCAGGACTTAATCGCTATCTATACAATCTACACGTGAAATAAATTCGGCTGTATGAAATAATCGCCGTAAATGCACGTACTGTTAAATATGGTATCCATCGCCAATGAACTAAAAACTTTACCATTTCCAGGGATACTAGGAGACATCTACTCGGAATACTATTGGTTTTCTACCATAGCGTACACTCACTACAGGATAGTTTACGCGATGTAAAGATGTCCAGTACAAGTATACCAGACTTTAATGAAATCAAGGAGATCGGATCTGGTGGTTACATTAACACTGATCGAACCAAAATGCCATGTGAATAAATATGAAAGCTTCCAACACCCAATTAATGAACTCAATTACTACTCATACAATGAGTGCTATAAAATTGGTTCCTCTTCAACAAATGACATGAAGAAATTGTTGATTTTGTTCAATTGATGTCCGAAGACACAGAGAGTGGCGGCGAAGAAGAGTAAAAGCTTGAATAATGTGTTTAATTTCTCATCCATCCAATCTGCAAGTTTTAACTGTGATGCGAATACTGTATCAACAGTATGCTCCTTACGAAAGCAAGTACTAACGCGTTATGTCAATAATAAAAACAGTCAATGTTAGACGATTTGTTACTCTGAATGTAGATCGTATCATCGAACAAAACGAAACATGGCTAGTACACAGTCACTCTCGATATAATGATCCCCCGATAAGATGAAGTGGCTACCTCTGT